GCTGGGCCCGGGCCCTGTGCACCCCAGGGGCCCTGACTGCTTCAGTAATTGAGCCAGAGATCAGGGCCTAATACAAGAGTGGGTGCGAGGGTCAGACTAGGGATGTAAAATGACATTTAATCAATTAACCAGTTAAACATTAGGCTAAGTGGGATCGTGGGTGGGGGGACCACTCCAGCCTAACCGGAGCAGCCCCTAACCCGCGGGGCTCCCGCTCCCGGCCGTGCGCATATTTGTTGGCTCCCAGCCCCACATGGGGCCCAGAGCGGCTGGGGGAACCCCCCTCTGCCAGCAGCAGGCTGCCAATGGGGACTGGTCCTGGGCACCAGGTAACTGGTTAACTGGTTACCCAGTCGCATCTAATATTCGATCACCATGATAGACCCTGCTGGCCTTAATGTGTCTATGACCATCTTGAACCCTACTGGATCTATTCCTTGCTGCCTCCTCACTGCTGCACCTCTCCTTGTTGCCTGTCCTACAGGGCCCTCTGCTATATCAGTCTGTTTCCCCATATCTCTTCCTTCTACCCTACACCCTGATTCTCAGCATGCCCCTATGCCACAAAATGAGCACAAGAGTCCCCACCTTTCCTGTAATCTAGAAACACAAACTACCTTTCCCCAATGAAAGATGAAGGAATCAGGAAGACTTTCCTTCTCTTTCTCCTCACAAAAGAAAAAAATCCTACTCATCTGCAGAAGCCCTCAAGGCACAAATTCCACCTCACAATATTTGTATGTGCAAATTCCCATTTATAAGTGCTCATGTAAACTCCATGGGCTACATATAATAGTCATGGTGTGAGTAGGCTGGAAAGTTTCTACCACAACAAAATTTCCATAAAAAATAGGAAAAAAAGTTGAACTTCTGTTTTCTGCTCAACTTTTTTTTTTAGTATTATGTATTCAAGGTGCCTTACAAACATTAACTTGTTCATTCAAGAGTTTCCTCTGAAAAAAGTATCCCCCTCTGTTGAACAAACATTAAGACAGTGGAACTCCTGTCTGTGCATCTCTTTACCTATTGTTATTTTGACTTATTCACAGAGTGCCAAGTATATGACAGATGAGTTTTACAGACATGGATGAAGACAAGTCTTGAGAAGAAGTAACTTTGCTATTCTATGATGGATATTGCTGGATCCTAAAAGTTTTTGCTTAAAGTTTGCAAAATCACTGCTTTATAGGTGAGAAAAAGCATGTCAAGCAAATTAATGCTGACATTTTGAATGTTTAATTGAGCTACACGTTAAATTCATTACAAAATGTTTTTCATTCCCAAGATGTGGTCCATATGCAGGATTTCCAGAGGTGAAAAGACTATGGGGACCGATGATTTATTTTTGTGTTTAACAAAACACCAAAAGCATCATACAGTTTTTTAATGTTATAAAGCAATGTGTTGCCTACATGTGAAAGATCTGTGTTAAATTTATTGCACTTAATATCTACATATAGCACATTATAGATTATGAAGGGAAGGTGCGAGAAGAAAAAATATTAATAAAAATAGACTTTTTATGTTTTACCTCATCCTCCCCTCCAAAAAATAGGTTTGTTTGACATCAGGAATCAAAAGGAATTTCAAGACACACTGTAAGGGTTCCCCACCTTCTAGAAATCTGGGAGGCACTTGGAGAGAATTTTCTCCTTTGAAGATGACAGAATTAGAGAGATTAATTTGAATCTATTCTGCATTTGTAAGAATGATGTAGTAAATATTAGCACATAATCTGAAATTCAAAGTAATATTAATCCACCAGCTAGGCAGAGTTACCAGCTAGTGTCCAAACAGATAATTGTTTAAAAACCAGAGGTATGAAGAAAGTACCTTAGTTTAGCCACTAGAGGTCTCTTTGTGTCTGTATTTATTCTGAACTGGTAAAAACATGCCTGTGAAGGCCAGTTCTCCAGACATCTTAGATTAAAAAAATATCATTCCATGTATTGCTTCTCTCCCCTCCCAGATTCTTGAAGCACTATGTTAACAGAGGCCTTTTAACACTGAAGCTTTACAGAATTAGAGCAAATCTTGATGAAATGAAGGCGGAAGTGACTAAGCATTCTTCCTCTCTCACATAGAGCACAGCATTTTTGCTGGGAGAGATTCTCTGCTGAATTAATAGGCAATAATTATTTTATAAAGTACAACGAGAATATGAAATCAAGACTAACTGTACAGCCAAACACAGCAAATCCTGCACTCTGAAGTGATCAAGTAGGAGTCCCTTGTTCGCCATACCACCAGAATACAGGATTTCAATCTGCTATACTAGCTCTGAAGCATCAGAGAAGTGAAAACACCGATCATGCCTTTCATTGCGCAAGGTTTTAAATATGGAGTTGTGGGTGGATTTGCGCATGATTCCTTCTTAATTTCATTACTCCTATCTAGGGATAAAGGCTGTCTTCAGATGTCTACGTGTAGCTGAAATCAGTGGAAATCGAGCATAAAAATCTGAGATCCTGAAACAAAGCCCATTTAAATCAATATGAATTTTCCATTTTCTTAATGAGACTTCAGATCAGTCCTTGAGAGCAAATTCACTTTACTCTATATGCTGAGATGCAAATGTTATTAGTTACAATTAGCGGGTCATTTTACAAACCCAGCAATATGACTGCTTGCTTGGTTGCCCAGCAGCTGAGCTCCAATTTATAAGTCCCTGTAGTTCTTTATGGGATTGACTTGAAAGAAAAGCCTCTAAGGCTTTCTGTCCAGTATATAGAGCCACCAAAAGAATAAAAAAGAGTCCACGATGCTAGAGGACTTACAATTGGGTTGATTGTGTCCATGTAAGGGCTGACCAGTCCACAAACTTCTGAGTTTCCAGCCTGTCATTCAGAGTCCCCATACCCACTGAAACATTCACAGTCCTGACTATGTCACTCCTTCCTGTAAGAACTAAAAGGTAACAAGAATACCATGTGGGACAGGGACTATCATTGCTGTAAATCTGTACAGTGACTAGCACGGTGGAACATCAAGTTTGATGCCTCTAGGTACTGCTGTGTATACATTAAATAAGCCTTACAAACCACTGTATTTCAATATTAAGCCAATATTAATATTGTGAGATTTAATATTGTATTGCAATATTCAGTCTCACAATTCCCCTGTGATTTAGGCTTATAAATGTTCTGCATTTGATAGAGAGGCAAAGTGACTTGCCTAAGAACTAATGGAAAGTCACTGGCAGAGACAGTTACAGAAACTGGGAAGCCTACCTGTTAGTTATCTGTTCTAACCTTTAGACTGCTTTACAACACAAAATACCAAGTACTTGTGCTTACCTGCTCTGGATTCAGAGTGCCTACTGTTCCTTGCTTTGTAAGCATTTTTGTGACCAACAAATGGTGTTAAAGGCCTATGCTGGATTAATGCAAGCATATCAACAACAATCAAAGATGAATGTGGAAAGACAACACTGTATAAGAGATACACAGAGGAAAACAAGATTTCCTGTAAGTGTGCTGGTTAGTTGCCTAAAAAGCACTTAGTAATAAATAATAAACAAAAAAAGTTCTCCTTTTCATTGACTAATTCAGCTGTGAGTCCATCAACCTAGTGCTGCAGAATTTACTGAAGGGAAGGAGAGGGAGGAAGTCTTTTCTAGGTCAACTCCATTTTTGATGGCTTATTGTATTAGGTAGGAGGAGACTCATTTGTAAACGTGCCTTATTACAATATATTTTTTCCAAAAGCCTCCACAAGAGAAATGTCTCTTGTGGGCTGCAGCCTTTGGGCAATAGGAAATGCAGTAAATTTTGAGACCATTACTCAACCTTTGTTCGGTGACTCGTAAAACCCACATCTCTTCAGTTTCCTCTTTCATGTTAGATCATGTGTCTCTTTTTCCAGCTAATTCATCTTCACTATCTGATTTTTCTGGTAACAGGCATTGTGCTATCTTTCCATCTTGTTTCTTTCTCATTCTTGCATAGGGTTGTCTTCCTCCCAACCCTTTCTCTCCCCCCCCTTTTTTTTTGCACTTGTGAGGTGAAATTTAAATTTTTGAGTTACACACAAGAGATTTATTATAAGTAGTGCAGTTCTGTGTTTTCTTTGAACAGGAATCAGTTTGGCTTGTGGAGAAGGGGTATTAATTCCAAACATTGTAATGCTTATATTTTCAGCCAAAATCAGATTAGAAACTGCTGAGTATGACAGCATTCTTGTGCACTATTACGCAGATGCTAAACCTCAGTAATTAAAACTAGAATCTGAGGGACAGACCCTGTAATCTCCCCAGCAGAATTTTTCTTTTTTCCCAGGCCTTATGCAATACATCAGTAATTAAATGCATCCAGCACATTTCAGCCAATGCTACGCTGCTTGCATAACAAACATGTAAATGAATTGCACAGCTCGGCCAATCTGAGCACTGAACGGTTGCCCCCTTCCCCTCCACCCAGGGTTGCATGTTCAAGATTGGCAGCAAAATGATCAGTACCTATCAGTGTTTGCATGTCTGTATGCCTTATGCATTGCATTTAAACCTTTTGCATTTTAAAAATGCCATTCTATTCATCATCTAGAAGAATACATTTTTTCTGCTTGGTAAATATGAGACTATTCTGGACCATTAGTACCCACCATCTTCTCTCTCCATTGTACTTGTCTAGTATCAGGCCTGACGTATTGCATTTAAATCTTTTTGTATTAACAATGTGCCCAACACATCTCCCTCGACACCTATCTGATTAGCTCTTAGTACTGCACTGAAAGCCAGTTTCACAGCACCTCATATTCCTAGACTATGAATTATATTTGAGTTCCTTCCACAAGCAACACATTTAATTCCAATTGGATTAAATGTATCAGCACATCTCAGTATTTGTATGTCATGGGACCGTGTGTATTTAAATTAAACCCCTCTTTATATCTGAGGCATTTCTCTGCTGTGCATCACTGTGGCATGGAAACGCTCTCTGTATCATAGAATCATAGAATCATAGAATAATAGGACTGGAAGGGACCTCGAGAGGTCATCGAGTCCAGCCCCCCGCCCTCAAGGCAGGACCAAGCTCCGTCTACACCATCCCTACAGGTGCAGTTACTCAGAAACTGTGATGGCAGTATTGTACAAAAGAGTATATGATGCCATAAAAATAGTTCACCGGCATACTCTTCAATTACAGGTGTAACATGACAGCAGTCTTAATAGACAAATCCTTCCTCTCTTTTCACATGGGATAAATTGGAGATAGCTATACATCTAGATTAATTTTCTATATTAAGAATCTAGGGCCACATTTCTGTCTTTAGTACCACTGGCACCGAACTGGAGCAAATCTATTAAAAATCAATGGACTTATCCTGGATTCTTATTGCTGGAGCTAAACATAATACCTCACCCATGAAATGCAGGAATATCGGAAAATAATCACTGTAGTCAAGAGGCATTTTCATGAGGTATAGTGCAGTCATTTTCACAAAATGTAGTTGGACAAAAAATACTATGCAACGTTCTTGACAGCCTGAGTTAAATAAACCTTCTTACATAAACTTGTCACCTGGTGGAGTATGCCCCCAAATTCAAGGGTAGACAAGTAACAATTGTTTTAAAAATGATTCATATTTGATTTCAAATGCTAAAAAAAATCTCAGTATCACATAAGAAAATACTTGAGTGTATAAAGATTAGCTGTTCAGTAGTTAAAATGTGCTATTTCCTTCAGTACACAAGTTACCATTACACTCTGGAAACTACAAAGGTTTAGCAAGTCCCCTTGGCCACCTTCCTAAAACCTAAGTGTAAAACTAAATGCTGCATTTTGTTTGGAAAGGTGATTAAGTGCAGCACATACACAATGAATGCCATCTCCAGCCTGCCCGCTGAGAATCCAACATGCTACTCACTCTATAATGGCACAGAAAAAAGAAAAAATGCTGATTCTTACCAGCACTTATAATTTTTCCAAGAGAAATGATAGCATTAAGTTGTCAAAATAAAATGTACACACTTCTCTGTGAAGTGTGCAGGATGTATGCACAGCTGGAGTGATATCTAATATGCATTCAGCGATTGAAGAAAATGCTTTACTGACCTGCTGGAGTTCTTTGAAGGTATTACCACCAAGATAAAGGCAAATTCAGTGGATGTAGTTACACTTAGATTTTTCAAAAACTGTTTGACAAGGGATTGCAATCAAAGATAAGGAAAGGGAAACAGGAGGTGCAATACAGTGCTTGAAGAATACCATGCCCCCACCGCTCCCTGCCTGTGGGTTGTCAGACCTTGCCTGGTGCATCTGCTCTGTGTGCAGCCCCTCGCAGGCTGTGCATGGGCCAAGCCCC